AATATATATTTAAATTACTTTATTTTGTTTCTATTTCAATACAATCAAAATTTTGTATAATAAATAGAATTTTTATAGTTTTTAAATTAATTTTATATAAAAATTATATTAAAATATTTGCTATAAGTATAAAATTTAAAATAGAAAATATATTTTAATAATGGGTTTTCAAAATTAAATTCTGAAACTCTTATTTTATTTTTTTTCGATTTATAATTCCCTCGTATATATCAACTTTAATATGATCCCTCGTTAATATCATTATCAATATGAATATAAAAGCGATTCAAATGAGTTGATATTAGCGAGGGCCAAATATAGTATTGGGCGATAATTGTAAAATCTAAACCTATTTTACAGAGAATTTATATCCAGAATATTAAGAAGAAACTCGCATATCACGAACAGATTTCGCGTGACGCGTATCCCGCGCTGGGTATTAGAGAAATCCGAAAATTTCCATCATTATCTGTTATCCATTTCAGATTGCCCCATACGAGTTAACTGTTAATATTAAGGGTGAGAATGGATTCTAAAAATCATTATCCCTAAAATCAATACTAGAATCGATGATCAAATCGATCAAAATACATGTTTGACTCATTATTCTGTTATAAAGACCAATTTCAGCCTGTCTTTCAGCTGGTAGTGCATCAAAAATATTATTTAATTTCTTATAATGAATTAGAAAATGAGTATAGAAATTAATATTAAGAGAGTTTATACATATTTTCAAAATTAATCATTTATTTTTATATAAACTAGAGAGTATGTTGTTTAAAGTCTATTCATTACAAGATTACCTTTATCGTAAGTATAAAATTAACGTGATATAAATATCAAGGAATTATACACATTTAATAAATATTTACATATTAAATTATGCAGTGAATATAATATTTGTATTTGCCTTTATAAACTAGAAAGTAAGTATAACATTTATTCCAATCAATTATGTTGTCTAAAACATATTTACAAAAGTTAATGCTTTATATATTAGAAAGAAAAATGAAAACGACGATGGAAATCCGTTAGACTTGATTCCAAATAATTTTGGTGACGTAATGTCATTGAGTGAAACAAATATATTATTACCCGATGAATTTAGTGGTTTAGAAAGAGTTTGTTTAACTGCCAACGGTAATTTGCAAAGGATTTTAAGGTACGTTGATATAAAATTTTAGTTGTTTTAAAATTTGGTAAAATAGCTAATAAACTTATTACTAACTAATGCTAATTTGTTAAATTAGTTCATGGTTTAATAAATCTGTTAAAGTGCAAATTATAAGAAATGATAGTATTCCTATTTATCATCAGAAATTATCTGCAAATGGTGATCCAATTTTACAAAGATTTGATCGGGAAGTTAACCTTACATGTGAGAGTAAGATAGTTTGTAATGCTGTAAGCGAGGTTTTGATTTATGATAATAAGATTGTAGATTTGATTGTGAACAAAGGTATAGGGATTGGCCAATTGTTTAGGTAAGTCTTATTATATTTTGTATATTTACGAAATTTAATAATTCTAATACCTAATAATATCTATTTATATTCAATAGACATCTTGACAGATTACCCTCCTTTCGATTGCATTTTGTTGGAAGAAGTATGACTACTTGGTGGAGAGAATATACTTTAAAAATTATTGGTGTTGAATGTAAAATTAAAGAAACTTTTCCAAATGGAATGTTTGAAAATGGTTGGATCAAAGTTAAGTCAACCAATTGTAATAATGAAAATGATAAGTTTATTAATGAAGTACAAGGGTCAAATATTGATAATCAAGTGTGGTCAATTGATTAATTGATTTAAATTTTAATTGACCACTAGATAAAAAGAGCGAGGTATTGCTGCTAAAAATATTGTAGTTAAATTTATTGTTAGATACATAATAAATTAAGTTTTAGATGTTTACTACATTTTCTTAAGCGCTAGTGGTGGTTAACTTCTCTTGAACCATCACTTTTACTTAAAGTTTATTTAATTTAAGCTACGTCCCTTGTTATTAAATCTTTAACTTTGTAAATCACACTATACCTATTCAAAATGGATTATAGACTATTTTAATTAACGGCATGCTATAAAACAAACATTTTGCCAAGACGATCTATCTTGCAAATAAAGGTCACTTCTAATCCCAATAAAAGCAGACTCTTGAATTTATAAAGGACCAAGTTCAAAGATCAGTTCAAAATCGAAGTATACATAAAGATAACACATAGTCAAAGAATGAGCCATTCGAATTCTTACTAGTTACTTCAGAGACTCGGTCTGAAAGAACTGATTAATATCTAAAGAACCAGTAGTATTTATAAACTAAAATATGATATATAGGTAAGAGTCGATTCTAAAAAAATATTCTAAAAATCAGTTAGTATAGACAATCAAATTCCAAATATATATTTTTATATTTTGAGGACTTTCTAGCTGGTACTGGCAGGCGAAACTATTTTTGGCA